TGTGGTGCGGTTCGACAATCGAGATATCGTAGTTTATTAGAGATGATCAAGCCGGTTTGATACTGGATGTTTTGGTTCACACACGGTTTTCAAGGACCGAGGGCAAACCGGAATAAACTTAGGGCATTGCCGGTGTTCGTGCTTCTTCCAGAACCCTCGCCCTGCAAGCCCCATATTCAGTGCACACAATAATTTTCATTTGATGACTGATAACTCGACGAGTTGATTTATCCGTAGCAGTGGCAAGAAAATTTCTCTGGGATTCAACCAGTGCCACTGTTCTTTATTGTATCACGGGAGATGAGTAAGACTGGCTGCAGTGTGTCGCAGACAGAAAGTGTGCAAAGGTGTGGCCATAAAGATCCAGGAGGGAATTGAAGGGAAGTCCAGAACATGGCTCTGATAAACTCCAGTTAAGCTCCGTTTATCAGTTATAAACCGTGCGCCAAGGTTGCGCCGGTGCCAGCTACCACAGTTTTGATCACCGGAAAATGGGAGCGTGGGAGAGACAGCTGAGGACTAATGATAGCATTATTAGTTTGTTCGCCCTACATATTGCTCTGAAGGAACAGAAAAACTGGGCAGCCAAGTATTAAAGGTGATAGCTTTGATGCACCAGCGCCACTGACTGCGTGATTGACCCACGTATGCCAGTGTCACCAACCATTATTGAGCTGAACCCCGGAGTTCCCACCCAGGAAAGCGGCAGTTGTAAAACTGGCTACGTCTGCTATTTGGTGTTTTCATACCTCGCTGCCATGTGTCTTACTGCAACCACCGATGAATTGCAGTTGAGCTTTTGAGGCAGAACCTTTGGTTGAAGACCTTAATCGCCTTTCTGTCTAAATATAGGTACCATGGCAGTATTCCAGCCCATATAGGACCACGAATCGCACAATTACAGATGGTCGCATGCAACATGAGTCATCGCGTGGAGTCATCAGTCGGATCGCCTTACTTACTGCATAAAGCAGGGTGAGTAAGCGGAAACAGACTACTACTGACGCCCCCTATTTCTCTTTCACATTCGCTCCTCTGCCCCTCACTTCTCCGTAGCCAGTGACATCCCTGTAGACCCACTCTAAAGGACCGATAGATCCCTTCGTCGCCCATGTGGGATAGGACACCGTTATGACATCCGAATACACACGAGGACGACTGGGATCTTCAAACAAAACCTTTATCTTAAAAGCCTGGCCGCTACATGGGGGGTTGGTGAGCGATTCCGGGAGCACTACAGTTTTCACAGAACAAGTTGCCACACTCATTACAACGCTCAGCCTGTAGACCACGAAAGTCGGACTGTCATGAAACTTTGAAAATGACTAACTACCCTGTGGATCTCAATGAGTCACGGTCACACTATGGTGTGTAGTGATCAGGGTTGTGGTACCTGAAATCAATGCAAAACCCGAACTGGGTTTACCACTGAGGATGATGGTGGTTGTGGTGAGATGGTGAAATACCATATTCTACCTCAAATGGAAGACTGTCAAGACATTGAAAGGCTTTTTATAAGCGTGAATCTCCAAGTACACACGATTCCAGAAATGCCACAACTGCACCCTACATGTTTGCTCCTTCAACCGTTCTCTGGTACTGCATGGGATAACGGCTCAGTTACAATCAGCCACCCGTTGTGCACATTGTGAACAGATATTTTGCAGTTCACTCTATAAGTTCATATTCAAAATGCTGTTATTAGATCGCCATAACTATTTCGTTTATACGAAATTCGCTAAACACATTCGTAAAAATCCATGCGATGCCGGTCCATGATTAATTTAGAGGAGAAAATTTGTGTAAACCAACCAGATTGGGGGATAATAGAGACATTTAAAGGTGCTCTCAGACTTCATTGTTTTGTACCTTTTGCATTTCTCCCGAATCGTTTTGTGGCAAAATCAAAAATACAAACCTAGGTTTGTCACAATAACATGTAAGTAAATTCGTTCGGTTTGTGACTGTAGTATTTCCTAAAGCTCTCACGTAACTACACCGGTAGAAACATCTTGATCTTATGAAACACAGGACACAACATTTTTCCTACGAAGGGCTGCTGTCCGAATGTGAGGTGTGTGACCGCAATGGTCGCAGTAGAGGTAGTTTTTTCTAATTGTTCTATTGATGCCACTAAGGGCAAGATAGCTTAGTGGCCAGGGCGCGAATTTACTTGCCAGAAGGTGCGTGGTTCAAACCCGCCTTCTGCATCTTGACTTCCCCTGTCTATGCTTGGACAACCTGGCAGTATCCCAGCCCCCGTGCTCCATTCGAGTGGCATGACAGCTAGGCACCGAAAGGGTTTTACAGCTGAACGATTGATTGCTTTTGAATTGGGCCCTACTCCCTCAATCTTTGCATTCTGTGGGTTAAGGCGTTCTGCTTGTCAACCCACAGAGTGTAAGACTCGGGTTTGAAGTGTCCGGATCGATGGTTGATTGGTTGTTTAAGAGGGGCTGAACTCTGTGCTAAAGCCACTAACAACAGGTAGATATAGCATCCTTAGCCAGTTGTTGCGGACTTTCAAGTACCCGACAGGATGAGCCATCGACGAAGTTTTGGTCGAGGATGCACTGATCTCCACCGGATGCAGATCTCTACTGGACGGGTAACTGATCAACAAACTCCAGTCGCTGTCCTGTCCTCTCCAGAAGGTCATCTGCTTCATTTATATACACTGCTACTGCCTCTTCTCTGTATTCTAGCTACTATGCCACCCTACTCTGGAGAGAAAGCCTAAACCGTTGTGGCGTTGGTCTGAGTCTTAGCGCCGAAGGTGCTCTACGGTTTCGTCTCTCGAAGGTTGAGTGAAAACAGAGGCCGATCCATGAAAAGCAGGGTAAATCGATCGTATATTCGCCCTCCGACAGATCACAGGACATTTACACTCGCTGAAGCGATAAACAATGGTTATTCTTGTTGATTATAAAGCTACCTCTCGCTGTGCGAATTGTCGGGCACCACGGAAGTGTCGATGAAGCAAAGTTTTCCCTCCATAAAGTGCTGTATACCAGCTCCTCAGACGAGCGAATGTCTACAGACAATTTTTACCTGGGTTCACTACATCCAGTAGCGTCAGACAAGGCCATCCGATTTCTCGTCCTCTCTTCAACTTCGTTACCGGTGTGGCCATTGAAGATTCATACCAAGTACAAAGATAGAGTATACGATGCTCGATGTTGTTGTATGAAACAGCAGCCTGGTAGCTGTGCGCCGAAGGCGTTGAAGGATTCAGTGTTTGGTCATTGGTATTCTGGAGCATTGCAAGGGTTTGGTGGGAGCCTCGAGTCAGTGTGGCTTAAGTACGCCGAATGGTTTCCGGGAGAAATAACCTACGATAGCAGAGCTGATCATATTCCATAGGTAGCGCTGGCTTGGTCACGTGCTCCGTATAAGAGCCCACCGACATCCTCGAACAGCCCTGACCACACAACCACGCGGAGGGTAAAAACGAACCAGGGGAGGTTAGGCAATGGACTTAGCATAGAAGTATGAAAGTCATTACCAGCCAATTCAGATGTTGGTCACAGCCGCAACCCTGAACGGGGACCCCGAAATGGGAGCCACAATGTTTAAAGGCATTGGCAAGCATAGCACAGTCGCGAACTCAATGGCGTGCATTCATCCAAACTGTTGTCTTCCGTGCACAGCCTTCCCTCTCGATCACCTACTAAAAAGCCCACTGCCACTCCTAAATTCAGTTCTATCAGCTAAATATCCGATCGCCATCATTCTTGATCACTGGTGAACAAAACTGTGACAGCTATAAAAAAGATAAAGATAAAGCGTTCAGCTGTAGCACCCTTCCGGTGCCTAGCTGCCATGCCACCCGAAGGAAGCACGAGGGCTGGGATACTGCCAGGTTGCCCAAGCCTAGACAGGGGAAGTCGAGTGGCGGAGGTCGGATTCGAACCGCGGACCTTCACTTATCTTAGCAGATGTATGAGCCGTGACTGTGCTGTAAGAGATGAAGTTAATGCGCGGGCAACCACGCACGAGCGGCATTTGCAATCCTGCGTCATTTAAGGGTCAGATCCGAAATTCACTAAGATTACAGGGCAGAGTAAACAAGGCAACCATAATAGAGATCTTAGTTTACAGTGGTGGGACTTAGTCCCTCAAATGCGAGGACCTAATGTGTCATCAGACTTCTATT